GTGCCCCATTAATTTCCTCTTTGTAGTGCAAAGTTCTTTAAGAATCGAACATACCTTGGTACTTGTCGAATTACTTCAAGAAGAGGTATGTTAACTTGAACTTTTTGGAACACCTCTAAGATCTCCCTTTCTACAGCTCTTTTATCACGCTTCATCAAGCTTGATGGAATGTTAGTGGCGTGATTTCATGAGAAGAAAGAGAAGGATGGATGTTAGATGTACCTTGTATTTCTGAAGGTGGCGTGTTCTCTTGTTCTTTCTGATATGCGGTTTTTTTTGCTGGAACTTCGGGTGAGATAACTTGTCCACTTCGGAGTGTGATGGCACTAACATTCTTTCTCAGATTTAACTCTGTTTGAGAAGGTAGTCTTCCTTGTGATATCAATTTTCCCATAGTTTGAGCTAGTCGGCTTGGTTATCTAACTCTTGAAGATGTATTTCGGTTCAGCTTTGGAATTTTTCCTGGGATGCAATTAACTTTTCTTGTGAAATTGCTAACTTTCCTATGAGTTCCTCCAATGATGGTCTTTGATTTTCCGCGTAGCTAAAGTTTGGGTGGTCTCACCATCCTAGATTATAAGTATTGTTGTATGGGTTGTATTATCTTTGTGGAGGACCTGGAAAGTTCCCTACTGCATTGATTTCTACATTGCCTTCTTATTTTATTAGCGGGCAGCAATCCGTCGGAAGGTCTAGCTTTTTACATATCCCACATGCTCTAGTTGCTCCAGATTTTCCTGTAATAAGTGAATTAACTACTTCAATTAATTTATCTAACTTATTTTCAAGGGAAAATGTACTTATCTCGTGAACCCGTCGATTGGGTTTACTTGAAAACTGTTGAGAATTGACTGCCATGGTTGAAATCAATTCTCTTGCTGTTGTTGGAATCATGTTGACTAATGCTCCTCCACTGTTGGCATCCACCATTTTCATTTCCATTGGTAAAAAGCCTTCATAAAAAGTATTGAAGTAACATTTTCTCAATTAATCCGTGTTGCGGACAACATGCGCAAAGCTTTTTAAATCGCTCCCAATAGTCATAAAGACTTTCTATACTCTTTTGCTGAATGGAAATAATGCTCCTTCATAACTCGCTTGCTTTAGTCGCTGGAAAGAACCTGTCAAGAAAATTTTGATTCATGTCAGCCCATGAATTAACTGAATTAGGAGGTAAATAAAATAACCAATCTTTAGCCAAATCGGCTAAAGAGAAATGGAAAGCTCTTAATTTAATTTGATCCTCAGTAACTCCTTGTGGTTTCATGCTAGTCCAAACCATGTTGAATTCCAACAAGTGTTTGTGTGGATCTACAGTGGGAAAGTCGTGGAAGGTGGGAAGAAGATGAATGAGTCCCGTCTTTAATTGAAACGAAGTCCCGCCACTAGGAAAATTAATGTATAATGGAGTCTGAGTGATAGGAGTTGTGGCTAGATCTCGGATCGTTTGTTCTTCTTCTGCCATCATAATGTTGTATGCATCTACTTAAGTCTCCAGATTTGATTCATCTTTTGAACTCTGCTCTTTTTCTTCTTGTCTTTTTCTCTTTTCTTGAAGCGTTTGTGTGTGGATTCTTCGTTCTCGTGCTTCGATCTACGGATCTAGATCTACTAATTCACCTAGGTTTCTTCTGGTCATAAATCAAAAACTAGAAAAATAAATCATTACTTGCCGTTAGTCCTCGGTAACGACGCCAATTTGATAATCGTCGTTTTGCTATCAAAATAATTACAATTTCTTAAATAGAAAAGAAAAAGTAGTATAGAGAAGCAGGGTCGATCCACATGGAATGTGGTGTTTCTGATTTAGTAAAATTGTTTCTTGATTTTAGTAGGAGATATAATTATAGGTAAAGTTGAAAAGATTTAATAAATTAAAATATATAATAATAAATAAAAGGGAAAATAATAAATAATAGTAGTAAAATAAAATGTGTTTTTAAAAATAAAAGATAAGAATTAAATAAAAATAATAATTAAATAAATAATTGAAAGAGATTGAGATAAAAAGAAACTTATTGTGAAAGCATATTCAGACTTCAGCTTCGCCTCAAATTCCTCAGATCATTGAAATAGATTTTTACTTCAAGATTCACATCGGCTTACAAGGACAATTCTTTGTTGCGAACTCGGATTATGTTGTTTCAACAATAATTGATTCTGATCTCAGTTTCCTCTTAGTTAACAATTTTTATAAGTGTGTCTCGGGAAGTCGAATATGCTTCAATAAGAAAATCCTTCTTCAAACATTAATCATAACAATATCTGGACCATAATTGACCTCCAAAAGCTGATTCAGAACTTTTTCCCTTATAAAGTGAACATCCAGATCTACATGTTTGACTTTAGCATATAAAATTGGGTTAGATGCAATTGCAACAGTGCTGGTGTTATCACACCAAATCTTTCGTGATTGAGAAAGAGGAATGCCTTTTCCTTCAAGACAACCTTTACCAACAACACTTCAGATGTAGCATCAACTAGATTGTGGTATTCAGCCTCTGTTGTGGAGCGTGACACTGATTGTTGCTTCTTGGAACTCTATGTGAGAAGATGCTTCCCAGGGAAGACATAATAACCATACACTGAACAAAGATCATCAGGGTCACTACCCCAATCAACATCTATAAAAACATGAAGAATAAGAGTATCAGTTTGAAACCCAATCCATAAACCATAATCCAATGTACCCTTAAGATACCGAAATATCCTCTTCACAGCGGACCAATGTGCTCGACATGGTTGTTGCATATATTGGGTGACTTTGTGCACAACAAATGCAATGTCAAGAAGAGTGTGGCACACATACAATAGTGCCCCAACAGCACTCTGATACACCTGAGCATCCACAAGCTCTCTATCACACTTGCTCAACTTTGGGGAAACTGGCATTGGTGGGTCACCCGGAAGAACCTGCTCTATACCGAATTTAACCAGCAATTTTTCCACATATTTTCATTGAATAAAGATAATGATAACCCGCTGATAACTCTCCAAAAGAGTTATTATTTATAGCCTTTTTACTTAGGTTAAGCTTGTACTTTAGCATGTTTAGGATCACATTTAGTGTAATTTTAGCATATTTTACATCATTTGCATATTGGGAGAGAATTGTTGGTACTTGGACTGATTTTGATGATTTTGTTGTGAATTTGCTACTCTGATGTTGTGACTTTGTCTGATGTTATAGGCGTTGCTGTGAGCTGATACGAGACAGAATTACTGAGCCATAATTGTATCAATCGACACGTCACCAGGCTATTAGAGAATATTATGGAATTGACACTCGTTTTTAGCTGCTGAAGATAAAGCTTGAATTGAAATTTTAAATAAAAGAAATTTTAGAAAAGAAATGAACTTTTCTATTGGTGAAAAGTTTGACATTATGAGGATATAAATATAATATTTTCTTCATCATTGAAAACCCCTAATTTTCATATACACCTTTTATTTTTCTATTTTTCCACAGCTCATGGTTGTCTAAATCCACCACCGGGGAGTATAACAGCAGTTGGGGAGCAATGCAGTGTAGCAGCGGTGATCGATCGTGATTCAATCAAGTTTTATAGTTCTTACTTGAGAATGGAAGATCCTATTTTATAAAGGTTGGATGTTTAAATTTATTGTTGTTATTTGTATTTGAACACAAGATGTTTGATGAAATGCTTTTCAGTTTGATTTTGCTTTTATGATATGGTTATGTTGATGGGATTTCTTGGAAACTATTTTTAGAAATAAAAAAGTCTTACTTGTGTTTAATCTTGGTTATTTTTAAAGATAGGAATATTAACATTGCATGCTACTTATGACAGCATCGATTAGTATGACAGTAATGTTAATGCAAGGAGATTTGTATTGTTGATTTCTATGCTTTAATTGACGGCTTAATTAATGGATTTGATGAGAGTTAATTATGTATGTTAAATGATTAATATCTGAAAAGAATTAATGTGTTAATTATACCATGTGATACAACTGTATTGTTACAACATTATTATGTTGAAAGCTACCAGATAACGACAACTTTGCTTGGTCCATTGGTCTGATTGCTCCACCGTTTGCTATAGCATTCCCCTGTTTTTATCATTTGAATTTATACTTTTCTGTTTTACTCTTATTTCACTATTGCAACCATATATGTTCCTAATACTTTTATACAACTTTATTTTAATATGTTTTTCTCTCTATGGGTTCGACATCTGAAGCTTCTATGGCTTCCACTTTATTACTTGGTGATGATATGTATACTTGTATGATTGTAGTAACATTATCTAAGCATCATGTTTTTGGTGACATGGTCGGGGAGCAATGGCATTGCATTAAAGTTGTTTTTTCTTTTGTTTTCACTAATTTTGTTTATTTTCTTTTGTAAGTACCCTTAGCATAGTGTTACTGGTGCATGACCTGCCATAACAATCGATACTTAGAACCTTTTGATCCCAAAATAAAGAGAACATTTCATCAAAGAAGACAACAACAAAGAAATATGGCAGACAATGAGGACAATGTTTTGCCACCATTATAAGTCAGGGCTAATGGCAATCTTCCAAATGATGGTTCACATGAAGGATTAAATATGCCTATGAGAGATGCTCTGATGCCGCAACATCATTACAACATTGATGATCGTAATAAGCCCATTAGAGAGCATGTGGTACCTATTCTGGACTACTTAAATCATGGCATCTTGAGACCTACTATATATGCTGCCAATTTTGATTTGAAGCAGATCATGTTTCAGATTTTGCAATTCATGGGATAATATGGTGGTTCACTCATTGAAGATCCGAGAGAACATTTGCGAGCATTTATAGAGGTGTGTGACTCATTTGTTCAGCAATGAGTGCCAGAAGAAAGCTTTAAAGCTGAAACTTTTTCCTTACTCACTGCGAGACAAAGCTAGAGCCTGGTTGACTTCACTTTCACTTAATGCTATAGCATCTAGAATGAGCTCATACAAAACTTTCTGCTACGATTCAATCCTACCAACATTAATGTATGGATACGAAATGATATTACTTTGTTCAAGCAGTTAGATGACGAGAATTTATATAAAGCTTGGGAGTGTTTTAAGGAGTTGCTACGAAAGTATCCAATGCACGAATTTCCTTATTGTACGTAGATGGAGATGTTTTAGAACATGTTGAACATACATACTCGCATGGCGGTTGATTCTTCTACTAATAGAGCATTGCTAGATAAAACATACAATGAAGCATATGACATATTGGAGAGGATCTCCAGTAACAACTATGAATACCCCAACACAAGGAACATGTTTGGCAGACGCAATGTTGCAGCAACATATATTGATACTTTGAATTCAATGGCTTCCCACATAACAACATTGATCGATATGGTGAAGAAGTTACAAAAGAGAATGTGCATGTATGGGTAAAAACCACATCTCATCTCTCTTGTGTTTATTGTGAAGATGCACATAACTATGAAGAATGTCCACAAAACTCCGAATCTGTTTTTTATGAGAAATTATAATAGGGGTAATAATGGCAACACATATGAGAACTCATACGATGCCAACTTTCGTAAACATCCCAATTTATCATAGAGGATCCAAAATATTATAAATCCACAACAGCAACATTACAATTAGCCACAATAGTATAATCAGCAGTAGATGATGCCCCAGCATCAGACACAACAACAAGATGTGCAACTATAACAATGCCAGAATTATCAAGGACAACATTCTAATCAAGCTTCCAACCTATCTTCCCTTGAAGATCTAATGAAAAAGCACATGGAAAGTCAGTCAACATCAAAAAGAGCCTTAGAAAATTAGGTTGGACAGCTGGAACATGCTATGAGTAGTAGACAACAATGAATGAGGCCTAATGACACTGAAAATCCAAATTCGTATGGAAAAGCATGCTAAGAAGCCTAAGAAGAAGAATGATGAAAGGTTGGAACATCAAACCAAAGGCAAGGATGTGCATAAAGCGATATCTACTACATATGTTGTTGCAAAAGATGGAGGATAGAGTAGTAACTCTAGGACATTGCCAGTAACCTTGTCTATTTAATTAACACATGTAATTCCTGTGATGCCACAACTAGTGTTGAATCAGTCGAACCTAATACCTCCACCACCATTCCTTTAAAGATTCCAGAAAAGCAAGGAGGAGCAACAATTCAAGAGGTTTCTTAATGTGCTGAGACAATTACACATTAACATACCGCTGCTAGAAGCATTCGAACAAACATCGAACTATATTAAATTTATGAAAAAGGTGCTTTCTAAAAAATATAGGATTGGTGATTTTGAGACTGTTGCACTCACTGAAGGGTGTAGCACCATTGTCATGAGTAAATTGTCCCCAAAGTTAAAAGACCTAGGGAGCTTTACTATTCCTTCTTATATTGGCAATCAATACATATGTAGAGCTTTATGTGACTTAGGTTCCATCATTAACCTAATGTATTTGTCTATTTTCAGGAAACTTGGAATTGGAGAAGTAAGACTTACAAAAATTACACTTCAACTTGCTGATCGATCCATTATCCATCCCGAATGCAATATTGAGAATGTGCTAGTACGAATGGACAAATTTATCTATCCAGTAGATTTCATTGTCTTGGACTGTGAAGTAGACAAAAAGGTGCCCATAGTACTAGGAAGACCATTCCTTGCTACTGGATGAACATCGGTGGATGTTGAAAAAGGAGAATTCACATTTTGTCTCAATGACCAGCAAATTACATTCAATATGTTCAGTCCACTACAATGTGATGAAGAAGATGAATGCCATGGTGTTGACATTGTCGAAGCAATAGTACAAGACCAATTAGATGAATATGGGAGCATTGAAGATCTTTTTAATATTGTTATGACAACAAAAGAATCCGATGAGCTGAACTATGAAGAGACTATGTTAATCAACAGAAACCAATGCTGCTACATTGATCCTAGCATGAACAATAATTTTGCATCGTCATTGTTGCCTACAGATTCACAACATGAGCACCTGAGAAAAACTGAAAATGTTATGATGGTGTAGAAAAATACAACAGCAACCAAGGTATCGAGAAAGGTCTTGCAAGGATCTTACAATGAAAGCCATTATCCAAAAATTCAAATTTTTAACTTCATTCATTTATATAGTGATAATGAAGAAGTGTGGTTCATTAATTCTTCCAGCAACCAAGAGTCCTACTTTGGACAATGTTTCGATCTCACAAGCGCGAAGGCCCTAGAGTTGCACGATTATGTCACTGTAACCATCGACAAGAGTAAGGGGGTATCACTTTACTAGGACCCAAGAGAAGTTATCCCCAAATGTCATTTCATTATATGAAACCATTTTTTACTTGCTTTCAATAAGTCATTTTGATACACGCATGACCAGGCACCAATTCATCTTCTTCACACTTACATACATTTTAATGATAGAAGCACATAAAGTCTTTCTTACATTCTCATTCCTTTATTTTAATGATAATATGCATTCACATATTTATTTTGTTATATATATCATATATATTCATGTTATGTTTAATTATAGTTATCCATTGATTATTCATATCATTTCATATGAAATATATATAACTTGGTCATTACGTTGTTGAATATTAACATATTGTTATCACACATCTTTATTTAGCATAATAATATGTTTTGCATATACTTTATATTCATTTATCATGATTGCATATTAATTACATATCATAGTAGTATGTTTGTATTGAATCTTTAGCTCATGTCATGTTATTTTAGCTCAAAATGCATTTATCATAGCTCATTAGCTTCGCATCATTATTTCCTTAGCTCATGACATTCATTTATAGTTTATAAGTGGGTATACATTGGTGGCAACAAGCATTTAGCTTTCTACAAGCTCAATTAACTTATGTTTATTTGATTTCTTGATTTTCATAGGTACATCAAAGGAGGGCACATCTTATGGTAGCTTTGGGGAGCATTTGGCAAACAATGGTAGCTCACAACAAGCTCACAAAATCTAAGGCAACTCGTGGAGATCAAATTAAAGCTCACTTTAGCTGGGGAAGCTATTATGGAGCTAAACTTAGCTGATGGAGCCATATGGACTAAAGTTGTCAAAAGTGATGTAAGGCGGATCTACACGCTTTGATGGAGATATATAGATAGCCTTATTGTGTCCCGATCTAGGATTGACAAGTACTAATTTCCTTGAATTTATAAGCTTGGGCTGCACAAAATAAGAAAGGAAATATGATTAATGATGGACTTAATAAAGGGAATAATAATATAAGTAATGAAATGAAAGAATAAGAATGAAATGAAATAAAAAAAGGATAGATATGACTGCGGAATTGATGGAAGAGATGGATGATGTTGATGATGAAATGGCAATGGTGGTGATGTTGTATCTCAAACATGTTAAAGAGGAAATTGTTCTATGAAGCATAATCCCGGTCTTCACAAACTTGCTTAAGGGGTGGTGATAGTGTCTTCAACCCACTACATATCAATCTAGGAATTTTGGAATAAAAATGGAAGGAATGACGCCACAAGTATAGGAACTATACTGGTTTAATCGATAAAGTTCACAAAGAACTTTGAAGAGAAATAACTTACAAGAGTATATTTTTATATAAGAGATGAGATGATTACAAATGAAATGCCAAAGCCTATTTATAGTTTTTCAAAGGGTTTAGGCCGAATAAACACATGATGGTTCGGCTAAGGTTGAAACCCCTTTGAAAATACATGATTTTTGAAGAAAATACATGATTTTAATGAAGATACATGCTCTTGGCCAAATGGTTAGGTGATGGTTCGGCCATAAGGATGTTTTTAATGTATTTGGAAGTTATTTGGGCGCCAAAATGAAGAAGAAAGAGTCTTTGGCTGAATAGGAAGCATCCCTTGGTGTTTTAGCACCAATTTGATGTCACATGGAGTGCACATGCTTGAATGATGCACATGGAAGCCTACTTGAACGCACATGGGTCTTCTTGTAAGGCTTTGGTGAGGTTGCAACCATAGGATGATGTCTTGAAGTCTATGGGCAGCCTAGATATAAACTAGCTTCAAGGTAAGCTAGGTGAGTGTCTTGGTAGCTAACTAGGTGAGTTATAGCTTGATGAACTCAAGCTAGTTAGCTTTGGTCTTCTCAGCTCCTCAGCTCCTCAGCTACTCTCCCAGCTACTTGCAGCTACCTTTAGTCCACTTTTCAACAATTTGGTCCAAAGCTCTCCTCCAACTAGGTTCAGCTACATGCTAGCTCCTCCAGCTAAGTTGAAGCTCCTAAAGTGATGAAATGAGATGCCATAATGTTCATGAGCTAGTATGAGTTGCTATGCTTATCCTTTTAGCTAACGAAGCTACCATAATATGTCTTGCTTTGTGTTTCACCTATAGGAATTAACAAACAAACCAAGTAAGCAATGTGCGAGCTCATTTAAGGTAAAATGCATGTTGTCGTGAGGTGTTTGAGTGATATAAGCTACGAATGATCATCTAGAAGCTAAGATAACATGTATATAAGCTAGATAAAAGGCATAGGACGTTCATGAGTTATAAGAAGACATATATGAGCTAGAAAATAGATGCATGCATGCAAATGAGCTAAATAAACATGGATTTAAAGCTAGTGAGCTAATGTAAACATAACATGAGCTAGAATAACATGACATGAGTTAATGAATGAATGAATACATGTTGTCATGATATGTAAATGTTATGCAAACATAATAAATGAATCTAAAACGTATGTAAACATAATATAAAGCTAAGTAAAGATGTGGAAACATATATTATGCATGAAAATCATATAGTATGCAAGTGAATGATAACATATGATTATTCAAGCATAGTTTAAGATGCAAATGCATGCTCATAGTAATATATAATGCATAAATGAGTAAATATAATATAAAGTAAGGTAGAACTCCCTTAGATTGAGCTTGATGAATCTTCAATGATGTGAGTGTGTCATGAAGAAAGTTGGTGCTAGACATGATCACATCATCATCCCCTTCTTTTAGGCGATTTGTCCTAAAATCGTAAGGTGACTTCTCCTTAGTGTCTTTCCATTCAGATGTTGTTGATTTGACTTCAAAATGTATCCATTCAATAGCAAATTGTTCAAGACATTTCCTTT